TGAGGTAGGAGATATATGGTCCAATGTTTTGACAGAAAAATAAGGAGCAGACATGTGATTGAAACCTGTAATATGTGAAAATCTCTAGGGAATTTGTGAGCAAGTAACTTTTCCATCAAATGAGGCTGTCTTGCCATAGCTTTATTTAACTAGTATGAAGATAAGGAGAGCTTAGAAACAGAAGTATTAGAGAAGAGATGGGAAAATTGTTGATTTCGAACCCTTGCTATATTGATCTGATTTGGGAAACATTTAGAATTTTGACTTAGTATGGATGATAGCTCTACCACCAAGATGGTTGATATCTTTGTTTCATCATTAGTACATTGTGACAATGACTGATACGATCTTAAATTACATGATGTGTAGGAACTTATGTGTGTGGGGTTTTTTTGGTTAAAACCGAAGGTTAAAGATAAATTAAGTTCTAGGCCTGTCTCTAAGTCTTATAAATCATCTACACGTGAAAACAATGGGTTTGGTTTCCTGTAACATACAGTTTGGTGATTTATTTTTGACCCAAGATAAATTTAGAATTCACTGACTACATTTTCTTTGAAAAGAATAGCTAGTTACAGTTTTAAAATGTTATAAAATTTATTTTATACTTTCTCCTCATAATCACTCCATGAAGTCAGACCCATTTTACAGATGGGGAACTTAAATTCAGGAAAGCTAAACAATTTTCCAAAGATCCTTTGACTAGCAAGTGTTAGAGAAAATTGGTTATAAGAATTATTCTTTAAAAGCCATATTATATCATTCATGATTGTGATAATTTCACAATTAATAAATGAATAAATAATAAATTATTTCTTTTTACTTAGATCAACTTGGTAATTTTTTTTTTTATTCTAGCCAAAAATCAAACTAAAGAAAAAATTCCCAGTTATGTTAGCATCTAAGGAAAGTTGGGGACTAAGTCTACAGGGTAGTACAATTAGAGAAAGTTACATTCAAATATATTTATATCTATAAATATATTTATAAATATATTTTATATATATATAAATAATTAGTTTTTAAAAGTCATCTCATACAAAAATTTTCAGGAGCCATTTAACTTACATTTATCCTCTTAAGATATTTATGAATCAGATTTACTAGTGGTTTGTTGTTGTTTTTTTTCCAGTTAATAGCCTCCAAAACTCTGTCTTTCCTTTTCTACATGGGTAGCTTAAGAAAATGAATGCATAACAAAAGGTATGGGTTTACAACAGATCCAAATCATAGTGAGAAGCTTGGGAGCAAGGAATTAGAAGAAGCCACAGTTTCCCAATCCCCACCCCCCTCCATTTCTCATGGTTTAATTCTCATTTGTCAAATGCCTAGGACTCCTTTTATGTTGGGCTTCATGGTCTAATGTTTGTTTGGGATGCTAGTCTAATTCATATTTTAAATAAACTATTTGAAGTTTTCTTCTTGGTAAATGTCAAGGGAATTGAAGCTCTTTCTCGTGCACCTACAGCACTGGAAAGACCTCTGCCAAATGCAGGAATCTGACTCTGCATTATCCTTCCTCAGAAGAACATAATTGCATTATCCATGAATCATCACCTCTCAGACTGTAACATCATTGTCAGAGAGAAGCACCAGCCTTCAGCTGGCCGAAAGTGGGGGTGGGGTGGGAAGGAAGAGAGTGAGCAATGGGGCCAAGCGCAGGTCACTGGGATGATCAGCAAGCTGGAGCTTTCTAAAGCCAGAAGTGGAGGACTCCCTGATTGGAAAGCTCACATATTCCTATCAACCTGTGTACAACGGAAGTCGATTTCTTCAATGTTAACACTGAAATTCGTATTCCTTAATAAATTATATTGCAGTGTCCTACCAATGGAAGGCATTAACTCGCTTAATGAAACGATCAGGATATTTGGCCAACAATGATGGGTAGAAATACTTTAGGATATTTCCAGTCTATTGTTCTTACATTATTTCGTTCTCTTTATGCTTGGACACTTCTTTCTATCTCTCAGCTCTTGTTCTATGGTCTCTGTTCTGACATATTTTAAAAAGTCAGTATGTAGAATAGAAATTTCAAAAATGCCATTGAAAATGTATTGCCAAGGCAACTGGACCAAATAGAATTCTAACTGGGTCCACAGATCACCAACTATATAATGTAAATTACGTTTACATAGAATGTAGGATTAAAACCTAAAAGAATGAATAGCGGTGGTTTGTCATGGTAACCACTAGAGGGCAATGCTGCTCCACAAAATACCTCCCCTAACCTGTTTGTCTACTTAGGTAGTTGACTCACCAGATCAAGTGAAAAATGGTTTAAATTCTTTGAAAAGATGTAATATCAACATCCTTGGAAAATACAAACTCATTTAAAAAGGATATATTTTGTATAAGTGTTGCAAAGAAGACGGTGCCTATTAACTGTACTGTGGTGGCACTATGTGTACTGGGGCTAATAAAAACGGAAGGAAAAAACCATGTAGTTCAAAGAGATTAAGCTTGATTTCCTTTCTGCGCTGTAAAGCATTGGAAGTACTGACTGAATCCATTACGCACCCAAGTGTATAAATCAACAGGTCAGGTCATTTATTTAACTGCTGTCTCCTTTGAGGGAAGTAAAAGAAATTCTCATAAATTTGCACTGAAACAAAATGAATCTCGATTGTATTTCTCTAATAAGCTAAGGGTTTGAAAGAACTGTGAGAATAGGTCTGGGAATTGTATGGAGACATGGCTGAAAGTAACAACTTCAGAGCAGAAGAACCTTTCTCAGCCCTAGGTTAAATGTGTGGTAGGGACTTGTAAGAATTACATGTTGTCATTCAGAAGATTAATAGTAATTAGAGACGCTTCATTCCCACCAGGGCTAAAGAACTTTTAAAAAATTTGTTTAGTTTGGTGATATCATATCCTAGATTAAAATGTTGTTTCCTACAAGAGATTTTCTTTTGGTTCTGCATATTACCATAAATTTATAAGCAGTTAAAGTGAGATTTTTTTTTAAAACGGCTAGCCCTCCACATGTTGGTCATTCATTTAATCCTACATCACAGCTCACACATGACTGGCTTTGACTTTTAGAAACATTGTTTTATACATAAAGCACATTTTTATATATGTTAATAGCACCATAGCACTGAGAATTGTAAGGTTTCAAAACATGGGTATAAATAAGTCCTGTTTGCTGTCCATCATAAATGAGGCAGAAAGTCATCAAAGAATAAAAATGGGCCTTTTCACTTTAACACTGCATTTAATTAATACATTCATCTTCAGTACAGTTTAAAAAAAATGAGGTCAACCAAAAGTAATTTCAGTTTTAGATGGAAGATGTGATTACTGACATATTTTGCTAAAAGGTAAGATTACAACTTCATTGAAAAACATTGCAGTAGGCTCAGCCATCCAGTTCATAGTACTGTAAGGAAGAACCTGCATTATTAATCAATTAGGAAGATGCAACTGCTTGCCATCAATAAATGCATAGCCACAGTTATTCAAGGGTTCAAGATACTGTGGCAATTATACTTTTCTGAACTGGCAACTGTGCTAAGATTTAATCAAAATCCAAGTATCCTTGAGAAACCCACTCTATTAAATGTCCTTTTTCTTTTTTTTTTTCTTTATTGCTTTTAAAACTCTGCTTTTAATCATCTGGCTTCCTTGCGCTTCTATTTCATGGTGATGTGCCTAGATTTTCCCTCTCAGCATATTTAAAGCCTCCAAACTATATGAGAAATGCTGGTAAAAATAGCCATTCACTTTTTTTTCTCCCCCCTTTTTTACTGCAGTGATTCTGTTTTGAAGGAACAGGGACATGGATCAAGGTGTCAAGCCAAATTAAATGAAACAGCCTAGATATTACAGGCCTGATTTTAGTTCCTGTAAAAGAGTGTTTCATTTTGGAGAATGAGAGACAATTGCAGGCTAAAGATATTCTTCCGAAATCTTAATGGGCTGTGGTCCAACTTACTGATACACAGGGGCTATGATATTTGTGCTGCAGTCAATACACTTTCACCAGTGACAGAAAAACATGCAGGCAGACTGCAGACTTTCAACAGGCACTATACAGAATCATACTGGTGGACGAGTTCACAGTACGGATGAACATAGGGACACTGTGATGTCAGCGACAGAAAAGCATAACACAATTGCCATCAGGTTGTTCATTTTCCCCTCCTCCCTCCCCCTTTAGGACATATTTTATACATTCATTTAAGGTGTTATCAAAATCATCTTTTGCCTTCATGCTCTTGGAATGTGTTCTTTTAAAGCATCTAAATAAAGTATCAGTCGCTGGGGACTGGTGTGTGTCGGGGCACAGAATGGAACAGCACAGGGCAGCTTGACAAATCCCAAACAGGAGAACAGGACAGAGCTAATGATTCTGCCCACTACATTAGGGTCTTTGAAAGAGCTGCAAAGAGAATTTCTGGTAAGCTCCCAACCACATGCATATGTAGCAAGCTGCCTTCTCATTTGCAAACCTCATTTCTGAAAACTCCCTCATGTGAGGAGAGGAGCAGGAGTGAGAACTGCCTCCTCAAATTTGCCTCCTGGTGATTTCATTGTATTTTTTTTCTGGAAATGTACAGAATAGGGAAAAAATTAGCAGTGAAGCCTTGTGTCTGATTTTACAGGGATGAGTTGTTCAGAGACAAGGCTTCTGCTCTGAAACTTTGCATTTTTACCATCTCCTCACAATTCTCAATATACAGCATTTTAAACCTCTAACTCCTTCCTCAGGTGATCCTTTATGGGGAATCAAACACCCCTGGGATTTTGCTCCTTGCACTGCTTTATTCCAGCCCTACGTTTGGGGAATTTTCTACATTTCTCCTCTTCAGTCAGGCATTTGTTCTAAGGCTCTGTTTCTAAATATTCCTGCAATCTAGTCACCTAAAAGTCCCTCCAACTCCCAAGCACCTGGACTCCTTCAAGTTCCCCTTGGTTGCCCATGGACTGCAAGCCTGCTGGAAATGTAGGGTTTTGTCCCACCACAAGGAGAACACATAGATGTGGGGCATTGACTCATGAAAGAAGTTTTCTCTTAAAACAAGTGTGACATTAACGGAATCAGTTAAGGGTCTTATACAATAGGCATTCTATTAAACCCGAGTTCAAGCATCACATTGATTGTGGTGTTTCAATTTCAATGGGGTGATTATGTATGAGAGGAAAATGACCGGTATTATGAATGTGCTAAAACTGACAGGGGAAGACCCAGCCAGCAGAGGGAGGGCAGAGGGAAGCGGGAAGGGGGGCCGCCACGTTCCCTTTACATGTAGTCACCAGAGTTCAATAAAGCACCACTTATTTCCCAGGTTTTAAGAGCGCTTTTACTACAAGGGTTCATACCTCGCATTCTCTGGAGCCTGATTTGTTATAGGTGCAGGGTCCCGTCCCATTCAGCAGCATCTCGCTGGTCTCTGTGTTGGTGGGTTTGTAATCGACATAAAACTCCTGGGTGCTGGGAGTCATTTGCTTGAGGGACTGTCTTTTCTTTCGCCTGTGCTTGCGCATGAGGGAGCGCTCCTGCAGCTGCTTCATGCTGGCAGGGTACCGCTTCCATGACACGTAGATGACCAGCAGGATGACGAGCACAGACAGGAACAGGGCCACGCTGCCCGCGATGATTTTATGGAAAGAAATGTGCTCCGAGTCTGCATCTGCATCGGGCTCTGGCGCGGGCTCCGTGGCCCCCACCGTGGGGGGCACGGGGGGTTTGCTCTCGTGCTTGGGCCTGGGGAGCTTAGGCTTGAACGTGGGCTTGGGGAGCGCCCTGGCCACATCGAACCTCTCCGTGGTACTTTTGCCACAGATGCTGTAGTTCTTCACAGCATCGATCACGTTGACCCCTTGCAGTTCTTTGGGACTGGCGCAGATGATGGTGTTCTCCCTCAGCCCTTTGAAACTTTTCAGCCAGTTTACCAGGGAACAAATGTTTCTGCTGCATTCCCAGATATTCCCGGCAAGGCTGATGTCATTGAGGGATATCCAAGAATCCAAAATCTCTTGACCAATAAATGTGAGTTTGTTGGAATCCAGGTTGAGGCGCTGCAGATTGGGGACACACTGGAAGACGCTGGGCCCACTGAAAGCTTCGATCTCATTGCCTGATAAATCAAGCCTTTGTAAGGAGCTCCATGTCCAAGACATGGTCTGTCCTATGACACTGATTTTATTCCACTGCAAGTAGAGGTTTTGTAGGCTCACCAGCCTGGGAAAGAGGGCCAGGTTGAGCTTGGAAAACTGATTGTGCTCCAGGTGAAGTTCTTTGAGTCTGATCATACCAGCAAAGACATTTCTGGCCAAACTTCGGATCCTGTTATATCCCAGGTCCAAAAGTTCCAGGTTCCGGCAGTCCTGGAAAATTCGCACCGGGATGGTCCTCAGGGAGTTGGACCTCAGGTGTAAACTTAACAGTTTCCTCAAGCCCCGAAACTGTTCCGACCCCAGGGAATGCAGCTGATTGTAGGACAGGTCCAAGTTCCTTAAATTTGTCACCGGCCGGAAGGTGTTGTTAAGGAAATAGGAGATTCTGTTGGAACTCAGAATCAACTCTTTGAGTCTGCGTATTCCATTGAAAGCATTCTCGTCAATATTGCTGATATGGTTATGGTCGAGGTACAGCCAGGTGAGCTGGTTGAGCCCTTTGAACTGATTGTACTTAAGTTTCTGGAGGCTGTTATAGCGAAGGGATAAGCCCAAGCAGCCAGCAGATATACTTGACGGTATCTCCTGTAATTTCTGAGATTCACAGTAGACCATCTTGCCTTCACACCTACAGCCCCTAGGGCATCCTCGTTCAGCAGAAGAAAGCATGGTCAGTAAGACAGTGGGGGCTATAACCAGTGCTACAGCTGATCCGCTCAGTAGCCTAATGACATTGAAACCTGGAAATAAAAACAACTTAGAAAAGTTATCCCCCCACAAAAGAATCCATTCATTTTTTTTCAGCAAGCAAACATAAGCATATTTTTGCATTTCTTTTTTATAATAAATGGAACTATAAATAAAAGAGTATTTAACATCTCACAGGATCTTGATGTGATTTAAAGAGAATTATCTCTAGGGATTTTTTTTTTAAATAGTTAAGCAAGGAAATGAATGTATCCACTTAACAATTGAATGCAGAGCCTTAGAGATGAGCAAGGTAATCTTACAACTAATTAAGGCAGAATTAATACATTATTCTATTTTTTAAGAATAAAATAAGGAGAAAAAATGGTAAAACATACCCATCCTTTGTATTGTTCAAAGGTCGTCCTTACGTTCTTTGCTCTGGCTTAGGGGGCCTCTGTCATAACAGCCCCTGTCAGCTGTGCTGTGGTGAGTCAGGGCTCGCTGACACCCAGGAAGAAAAATTGGACCCCTTGGGAGATGGACCGATTTTGGAACATTATTCTTTGCCAGCCACGCAGAACACTCCAAGAACAAATAAATCCCAACACCGCATTCACAGCAAAACATCAGAATCTTCCTAGGTAATAGGATCTTCATGGATGTTACGTTTTTGCATCTTTACAGCTGAGTGTTTTTGGCTTTTTTTTTGGGGGGGGCGGTGATGAAAAAAAAAATTTGAACCAAACTGGCTTCTACAGTTTCTTCTTATCTGAAAGCATGATGTATTCCTCCAGGCAACGTGGGGCTACCTGCGCTGTCACATCTGTATTCCATAGCCCGGCGGTCCTCCGTGGTGAGCGCCGGTTCAGCCACAGAGCTGCGTTGGAGCCCCAGAGGCTGGAGAGCCCCGTGCCCTGCACACACTCGGCTCACTTCTGCAGACTGTCATTCTGAAAGCTGCTCGGACTGTTGCTTTGGTTTCAGTGAATGCAGTCTTATGTAAAGCTGCCCCCAGTGGCGAAGAACATTATGGGCATGTGCAGAAATGCCTCTCTTTTATCTTGCAAATGAGCAGCCTCTCTGCTGGAAAATGAATGATTCTTCGGGGGTTGCTCAATGGCAACTGAATGGTCACCGTAATCAATAACTAGCAACGTTTTCTGTAATTCTCCAGGCTTGTTTTACAAGTTGGCAGTGTCTTTATTGTCTGCGTCCACTTAATCGCTAAACATGTGCTGCCCGGAGTTGGGTTTTTTTTTCCCTCCCCCCGCCCCTGGAGCTTGACATTAAGTTCACAGACTGTGTGTCAATTTTTCCTAACCTCAATGTGGGCTTTTGAACTGAAATGAGCTTTTCACAGAGATGCACTAACTGCTTAGTTGACCCATTGGAATCACTATCATTATATTATTCAAGGTGTCTCAGGATGCTACAGTGTTCTATTTTGAAAGAGAGGAGAGAACTAATGACACATGAATCAAAGTGACTAATCTCTTTTCTGGCTTTCCCACAAAAGATATAATTGTCTTATATCATTGGCTTGTGTCTTGGTCTGTTTTTGTTGTTTTGGTTGCTGTCTTATTTTAATTAGATGATAAATAAACCATTCTTGCTGCCAAAAGAAGGATCAAGACATCATTTGGTTCACAGTTTATTGATGCTGCTATTTATTACATGTTTTATTGAGTGTTTTTGAAGTGCTTTAAACAGGCTCTCTCGTTTTATCTTTAAACTAGTCTGTGAATTAGGTTCCATTCTCAACTCTGAACTCATTGGCATCAAGTCAAAACTAACCCTCCAGTGGGTTCTCAGGAGGAGCTGTAAATTACACTGGAAGAGATTGCCCATCTTTTTCACATAGAGTGACTAGTGGATTCAAACCACAAGACAAGGGTCATCTTTAAGTTAACCTCATGTCTCTGTACACAGTAGAGTACCATGGCTCCCCAAGGCTCTCTTAGGAAACTGAGACTTGGAGAGATAGCTGAATTGAGGTCATAAAACTAACAAGGAGCAATGCCAGGATTCGGAACTCATTCCTCTAACATCTGAATCTATACTCATTAAATGATATTGCTTCAATAACGGGGTTGTTTTAATTTAAAAAATGAGTCAAGTGAAAATAAGTCTGATTGAGGGACTGGGATAGGGAGTAAAAATAAACACATTGCTTCTTAGAGTTGTATAATGCCTCTCCTCTATGTATTTAAAGAAGTATTATAGAAACTAGAGAAAAATAGTTTATCTGTGAAGAATACAGACTAGGGTACCTGGGTTCAAATAATGACTACTGCTGATTAGTTGTATAACTTTGGGTTGGTTTTTTCCTGTGCCTTAGTTTTCTTATCTGTAAAATGGACCTGATACTTAAAATTTACTTCATAAACATGATTTGAGGAATAAGTAATTCTAATATCTATAATGCATTTGCAATCATGTTTGGCACATATTAAGCCTAGGATAATGGTTGTTATTATTTAAATAACATCTACTTTATTGTATTTCTTTCCCAAGCTGATGCTACATTTTGCTTAGTGTCGAATAGTGACTGTACTGATTGTCATCATTTACAAAGAACTACTGCAGTGAAAATCTTTTACAATTGCAGCAGGCATTTTTTGAGAAATTGTAAGTGACATATTTGATGAGAAATCTCTGTCTTCTCAGCTTCACCTTTTGCTTCTATGCATTGTGACTACTCGTTCATGTTTTATTCTTCAGCAAAACAAAACTTGATACCATCTGCCTCATCATGATGCTATTGGTGTTATTGGCTGGTGCCATCAAGTCGATGACTGCTCATAGCAACCCAATGAACAGCAGATGTGAGCCTGGCCTGAGGTGTGCAGAGTTTCTGCCCATATCTGCCTGTTCCAGCCCATTGTTACAGTCACTTCCTCAATCCTTCTTGTTCCTGGCCTTCCTCTCTTTCTCTGACCCTTCACCTTTCCCAGCATGATGTCTTTTTCCAAGGATTAGCCCCTCCTAACAGTTTACTCAAAGATGAGAGATAAAGCTTCACCATCCTTGCTTCTAAGGAGCATCTTAGTTATCCTTACTACAAGACAGACTTGTTTGTTCTTTCCATAATTCACGGGATATTCTTTTCCAACACCATAAGCATCGATTCTTATTCTGCCATCCTAAGCTTTGAGACGCATAGGAAGTAATTTAAAAGACTATTGCTTATGGATTAGGAGCACCTTGTTCTTTAAATTGACTTCATTTCTCTTCAGCACGTTGGAGAGGTTTAAATAGTATAAATCTTTTAAGTTTGCCTTCTTCTGTAGTTGATTTTAAGTGAATTGGCTATAAGAACCTCTGGAAACTTTTTGTATTTTCCAAAGGTGAGTAGTTTGATAAAACTGAGGCATCATTAGCAACGGGTCCCAAAGGCGTAAACCAAGATCCAAACCCAATACTTTGGGGTCAGTTCTAACTCATAATGACCTTCCTTGAGGTTTCTGAGACTGTCAAAATTTATAGGAGGTTCCTCATCTTTCTCCCTTGGATTGGGCGTAGAATTTAAACCATCTGCCTTTTGGTTAGCAACATGATGTGTAATGCAAGCCATTGAGCTGACTGCGACTCATAGTTACCCTATGACTAATGGATATAAATTTTGCACTACCCCATGCCATCCTCATCATATCTGCTATACTTAAGCCCATTGTTACAGTCACTGTAAAAATCACCAACTCCTAAGTCATTATGACTAATGGCAGCACGTTCCCCCTAAAATCCCAGCTATGAATACATCTAAAGTAACTGAGAGCTTATAAAAATATATGTATATTTCTTCATGTGCTTGTTGGCCATCTGAATGTCTTCTTTGGTGAAGTGTCTATTCATATCCTGTGCCCAGTTTTCAATTGGGTTATTTACCTTTATCTTATTGTGGTGCTTGAGTATTTTATAAATTCTAGATATAAGTCCCTTGTCTGACATGTCATTATCAAATATTTATTTCAGATGGCCAACAAGCACACGAAGAAGTGGTCAAAATCCCTAGCTCTAAAAGAGATGCAAATCAAAACAACCGTGAGATAGCATCTTACCCCAGTAAGAATAACAAAATTTAACAGAACAGCAAACATCAAATGCTGGTGAGGTTCCAGAGAAACTAAAACCCTTATTCACTATTGGTGGGAGTGTGCAACCACTATGGAAGGCTGTATGGTACTTTCTCAAAAAGTTGCAAATAGAAATACCATTTGACCCAGCAATTCCACTACTGAAAATTTACCCTAAAGAAACCATAACCGCCACCCAAGCAGATATATGCATATCCATGTTTATTGCTGCTTTGTTAACAACGGCAAACATCTGGAAACAACCCAAGTTCCCATCAACAAACGAATGTATAGAGAAGCTCTGGCAAATTCACACAATGGAATACTATAAAGCATTGAAAAACAAGGAACTCATGAAATATTATACAAAATGATGACCCTGGAGAACATTATGCTGAGTGAAATATCTCAGTCACAAAAGGACAAATATTGCATAGGGTCACTGTTATAAAATGGGACTGACATTGAGATTGAGGGAAGATAGAGGAGGAGGGCATGAATGATGTTTATTACATTGAAAAAGATGAGGAAGAGAACTGTTTAAAAGGAATATGTGATTGGGTGTTATTGTCATGACAGGAGTCTAGAATGAAGGCTGCACAGTGGAGTGGACTCAGGGGGAGGGATTACATAACAATGAAAGAGTTTTTCTTTTTTTTATTTTATTTTATTATTTTTGTGTGAGTGTACCATCAAATCAGTTCTGACTGGTACAGGAGGAGATTGTCCCTCCTTTCCCGGCAGAGCATCTGGTGGATTCGAACCGTAAGCCTCTGGGATTGTAGTTGCAGCTCCTTGCCACTAGGCCACCAGAGCTCCCCAAGTTTTTCTTTTACTTTTCAAGGAGAAGAGTGAATTGGGGGTAGGGAAGGGCAGGGAGAAAAGTGCAACAATGAATGAAAGAATGGAAAGCCTAAGTGTCTGTAAACTTTCATTAAAATTAATTTAAAAAATGTATATATTATGTTTCTGCACAAAGACTCTGATGAACTGTACTTCTTTCTTCCTTCTCCATAAAATGTGGTAGCGTGACTAGGCCATGATTTTTTGCTGTTAAATGTCGTGTGGTTGACAACAGCTCATAGTCACTCTCTGAACCCTGACCTATCTTGAACCAATCTCAATCTGATGCACCTGTGCCGTCATTGCCACAGTCACTATGTCATTCCATCTAATCCAGGGTCTCCCTCTCCTGCAGTGACCTTCTATTCTTCCAAGTATGTCCTTCTCTCAGGACTTGTTCCTTCTGGAAATATGCCCAAAGTAAGTGAGGTGTAGTTTCAAAATCCTGGCTCCAAGGAGGAACCTGGTTTCACCCTCTCCAGGACCTATCTATTTGATCCTTTGGCTGTCCATGGTATATTTGATATTTTTCTCCAGCACCACAACTCAAAGGCATCACTTCTTCTTCTGCCCTCCTTATTCAATTGTCCAGCTCTCATTTGCATAGCAAGCAATTGAGAAGACCATGGCCTGTATCAGGTGCACCTTATTCCCAATAATGACATCTTTGCTTCCCAGCATTTTGGAGAGGTCCTGGACAGCAGACTTTCCTAAAGCAACTAATCTTTTCATTTTGTTATGCCGGAGCCAAGAGTGTTGATTGTGAATCTAAGCAAGATGAAATTATTAACAACCTGATTTTTATCTCCATCTGTCATGATGCTTCCAATTGGCCCGGTTATGAGAATTTTGTTTTTTGTGCTGAGGTGCAATCCATATTCAGGATTGCAATCTTTGATATTCTGTGGCAAACACTTCAAGTCCTCCTCAGTTTCAGTAAGCAAGGTTGTGTCATCTGCATATTGCAGGTTGCTGATGAGTCTTCCTCCAATTCTGACGTCACATTCCTTGGC